AAAAAGTTAGCTAATATGATTTCCATGTCTAATTAACACAGTCGGTGACTATCTTATTAGTTTTATCTGGCACTGTGATAGTACCTCTCTTAGTTTTTTTTTTGCTAAGTCATGCTTTTCCTGGTATATACCCACTGGGATGTTAATAATGGTTCTTTTTCTAAAACAAATTACAGCCTGTGTGATTGTTTTTTTGTTTTTGATCAAATTGCCTGGAATTTTTGGTGTCATCCTTTGTTCAGACTACTAATACTCTTTGTAGAAGCATGAGATGTTACTATTCGTAAGTACTGTGATATGGAAACTCCCTTCCCCCACATCTGTCTTCAACAAATTCTGTCTCTGTAAGAAGTACCCATTTTACTTGGAGAACAGCTTGTTGAACTTCCCTCACTTTAGTGAATACCACTGCAGTTCTTATCAACACTGCAATTTCTCTCTTAGCTTTGCATTCCTACCCTGTCATTATAGTAGCCCCTGAAAAACAGGCACGGTGAGCATTTGTTCTTTGTGGCCGGCCAGCAGAGGAACTCCGTATCTGGAATTCTCTACCTCACGATTTTTTGTGGGAAGCAGTGTCACTACCCACATGCTCCCCCCTCCACTGCCAGCCCTTGCATATCTTCCACCCAGACCAGAGTGGGGAGTTTTCTTTTCTCCAGGTTGGGGGATAAACATTAGAGGTGTGAAGTTGGATGGCTTAGCTGGTACGGGTGAGGAGGGGGTGCTGAGCCGTAACTTAATGCTCTGAACTCAAGCGTCTCGCTGGCAGCCACATTCTGAATTTTGACTCGAGATTGGATCCCTTACATAGGTTGTTGGCAGAGATTGAAAACATTTTTTTGTTTTCTTAAAGTTGAGTTTGTGATCTCGCTGAATGCTTTTGTAGCTTCCCGAACTGACTGTGACGGCTGTCTTCAATTCCTTATTTTGTAGATTTCTGTGCTAGGAGACTTCGCTTTGTCTTAACCCTCGCAAGGGCACTGTAGTGTTTCATGGTGGAGCTCCAGTCATGCCAGCCCTTCACTGTAGTGTCTTTTTAATAAAAAAACTTAAACCTCCCTTACGTTTCTTTATGGTCGTTTTACACCTTGCAGCCACTGTTGGAATCTTTGTGTTTTATGAGGTCAAGACTGTCATCTTTGATAGTCACAACTAATCCAAGAGTTAGGGGTTTTCCTTAGTATTTATTGAAATGAACTGGCTCTGTGATGGGCATTGAGGAGGGCACTTGTTGGGATGAGCACTGGGTGTTGTATGTAAGCGATGAATCACGGCAATCTACTCCCCAAACCAAGAGAACACCGTATACACTGTATGTTAGCCAACTTGACAATAAATTAAATTAAAAAAACAGTTTAAAAAATATTGAAAATAAAAGAACTGGCTTTAATAATTTAGGCCAATTAATGGCATTGGCGTGTTTAAACCTACACATCTATAGAGTGTTCATGATTTACTTATAGTTTCTGACTTGTTTTTCCCCTGATTTTCCTGTTTATCAAAACCCATGTGTGTCTGTTGCAGAAAAATTACGTTCAGTACAGGGAAGTATTAAAAAACTGTGTAGGGCCCCCATGTCAGTCTACAGATTCACTGTAACCCCTATTAAAATTCTCACGGCCTTTTTTATAGAAATCAACAGTGCAATTCTAAATTCACATGGAAATGCAGAGAACTCAGAACAGCTGAAACAACCTTGAAAAGAACAAAGATGGTAGACTTTCACTCTCAATTTCAAAACTTAATACAAAGCTACTGTAATCAAGATGGTGTAGTAATAGCATAAAGATATCGTATGTCAATCTGCGGTCATTTGACTTTTTTTTTTTTTTACTACCCCACTTCCTTATGGTCATTTGATTTTTAACAAAGGTGCCAAACAATTTAATGGGGAAAAGAACAGCCTTTTCAACAAATGGTTCTGGAACAACTTGGTATCCATACGAAGAATGAATGAATTTGAATCTCTCATACCAAAATTAACTAATAAAATGGATTGGACCTAAAACTAAAACTTTTAGAAGAACACAGGTGTAAATCTTTATGACCTTGGGTTAGCCATTGGTTCCTTAGATAGGACACCAAAAGTAGAAGCAAGCAAAGAAAAAATAAATAAGTTGGATTTCATCAAAGAAAGAAAATGATAAATTAGGCTTCATCATAATTGAAAACATTTGTACTTCAAATGACATTGTCAAGACAGTGAAAAGACAACCCACAGAGTGGGAGGAAATGTTTGGAAATCGTATCTAATAAAGGTCTAGTATCAAGAATATATAAAGAACTCTTACAAGCTAAAAAGACAAACAACCTGTTTTAAAAAGTAGGCAAAGGAATTGAATAGATATTTCTCCAAAGAAGATACGCAGATGGCCAGTAAACACGAAAAGATGCTCAACGTCTTAGTCACAAGGGAAATGCAAGTAAAAGCCACAGTGCTACACCCACTAGGATGACCGTAATGGAAAAGGTGGACAATAAAAAGTCTTGGTGAGGATGTAGAGAAAGTGGCACCTCATGCGTTGCTGGTGGGGATATAAGGTGGCACAGCCACTTTTTGGAAGACAGCTTAGCAATTTCACAAACGGTTAAGCACAAAGTTACCATATGACCCAGTAGTTGTACTCCTAGTAGGACTGTTGGGTGTCCAAGAAAAATGAAAACACGTCTCTTCAAAAACTTGTACACAAATGGTCCTTGCACCCAAAAGCAGAAACGCTTTTTTGTACCAGCCCCAAAGTAGAAGCTACCCAGATGTCCGTTCACTGTTGAATGGTTAAACCTAGTGTGATGTGTCCATGCACTGGAATACTATTCAACAATAAAAAGGAATGGAATGATGATGCCTGTAACAACGTGGATGATGAACCTTGAAAGTATACGCGGACTGGAGGAAGCCAGACAGAAGACTACATATTGTGATTCCATTTATATGAAATGTTCAGAATAGACAAATCCGTAGAGACAGGAAAAAGGAGACGAGTGGTTGCTAGGGGCTGGAGGGAGAAGGACATGGGGAGTGACTGCTGGTGGATACGGGGTTTCTTTTGGGGTCGACGAAAATGTTCTGGGCGGACACTGACCACGGTGATGGTCGCACCACCTTGTGAATAAACTATAAGCCACTGAATTGTATACTTTAGAAGAGGCAATTTTATGCTATGTGAAACATATCTCAATTAAAAAAAAAAGATAATTGACAAAATAGAAGGCACCTCAGATCCCACTGCCCAGGACTTAGGTGCTACCACAGCTTAGGTGCACGAAGCATTTTACAAAATGCTTACTCAGTGCTGGACTCCTGAGCCCTGTATGTACCTTCTCATTTAGTTCTAACAGCAGCTTTGTGAGTCTTCTGTCAGAACTGGGACTCCTGACTCCAGAGTTTTTTCTGCTAATTCTCTGTGCCTGTGTTTACAAAGAATTTTGGGTAAAGACAAGAGCATGCTACTTTGGCATTTTATTAAAATACTGTTTTACAGAGTTCAATGCTTAACTCACAGTTGGCCAAAATATATTTGTGGTGTGGTTTGGTTGGTTAGCATTCAGCAGTTTAGGAAAGCAAATACTTGGGAAATAGGGTTAAATCCCTGAAGTTATTAGTCTTTTAATACCAAGGAGCTTAGGTTGATCTTCCTTCCTTCCTTCCTTCCTTCCTTCCTTCCTTCCTTCCTTCCTTCCTTCCTTCCTTCCTTCCTTTCTTTCTTTCTTTCTTTTTTCCTTCAGAGATTGCAAGAAAGTAACAAGTAGAATTAGAAATTTCCTTCACTGGCCATTCATCCTGGTCTGGTGTAATGCTGGGGGTAGAAGAGGTGCTTGGATTTTGTTTTCATATAATGCTCCTCATCAGGATATGCTGTGATCAATTGCTTTTCTGCTAGAGTGTATAAAGTGGAAGGCACAGTGAAAGGCACTCGCATGGAAAGCTTTGTTACAGTGGTTACTTTTGTTTGTTTTCATATACTCTTAACATTTCAGAGCAACTATCATGGGTTCACAGGTTTTATCCTGTGCACTCATTTATTGATTGATCCTTATTCGTGGGCACCTAAAACGTAGTGAACTTGAAACTTCTCGTAAAACAAACAAAACTTGGTTAGTGATTTTTTTTTTTTTATTTGTAAGTAGAGTTGTTCAGACTTTTTAATGACTCTGACATGAAAATGCCATGTTTTTAAAAACCTTGAGCCTCGATAGTGGTGCTCTGGCTTTATTCTTTTGTCGTGTAATGAAAGAAAATGTATTAATTTTCTTTGAAAGTTTATTATTTCTAGAAACTTATGAATAGCTTGAGTCTGACGGAAGTTCATTTTTGTTTTATTTATTGATTTTGAGAGAGAGAGAGCAAGAGAATGAGCAGGGAGGGGCAGAGAGAGAGAATCCCAAGCACACTCCCCGCTATTTGTGCAGAGCCCGATGCGGGGCTGGAACTCATGAACTGTGAGATCGTGACCTGAGCCGGAACCCAGAGTCGGACGCTTAACCTACTGCTGAAGCCCCCAGCACCCCTGACCAAAGTTCCTACTGAAGTGCGGGTGCCCCTGCCATGGCATGGCCTTCACCTTGCAGTTGAAGGAGACTTGGTTTTAGTAAATATTAGCACTGAGATGTGAATGTCCAAGGAAGCGCAGAGTGTATTCTTTTTTCCCCAGAAAAGTGCTCTCAGAAATTTGACTCTAATAAAAGAAACACTTGGACGTAGATATCATAATCTCATGATAATTTTAATGTAGATGGACCAAGCTTGGATTCTAAATTCCACAAAGGCAGAAACTTTTTACCACCCTTGTATAATGTAAGAGTTTATTCTTACTCCTTGTCTATAGTAAATGCTTAATAAATGTTTGTTATATAAAAATATATTTGTAATCACATATATATTGGCATTTTACATACTGTTTGGTGAAATACCCCCATGCCTATACAATTAACTAGAATGTTCTCAATTGATAAAATTGCTTGTAATAATTTTTCTTAATGTTTCTGTCTCTTTTTAGGTTGGTATTTTGTATGGCATCTTTTTCTATCGAAATTCAAGTTTCTGCGGGAACTGGTGGGAGACACAGGATCTCAGGAGGGAGATCATGAGCCATCAGGCTCTGAAACAGAAGAAGACACTTCGTCATCCTCACACAGGATCAGATCTGCTCGCCAAAGGAGGGCACCTGCTGATGAAGGCCACTGACCCCCAGCCCGCGTCTTGTACTAGTGAATGATGAAAGGCAGTGAGGAGCCTCTGTCTTTAATGACTTGGCTTTGCATTTTTTTTTACTTGGATTTTAAGTCCAGTTGGAAAAAAAAAAAGATTTATATGTAAGCCATATGAAAATAAAGGGAATTAAAACCAAATCAGACCATTGCAAATTCCATCTTAAAGAATAATCTTTTGCTTCACTAGCTTTTTCCACTTACATACTTACTACTCTTCGCCTCCTGGGCTTATTTTCTTGCACTGGTGTGAATCTGGTAAACATTACAGGCTTGAAAAACCATATTTTATTAGTTCTATAATGTATGTTGTATTTTTGTTTTTGTTACCACATGTTAACCTTGTCTGAAATTGGGATGTAGCTCATGATTACCGTCAGCCAGGAGATGGTTATGATGGAGTTACCCAACCCGTGCATGTGTGCACGTACTAATAGCTTGTCCTAGACAGCGTCATCACTGTATTATTGGTGTCAAACGCGTCAGGTTTAAGAGGCATTTAAAAATGTCTTCAAAAAGATTGCACTATGATTCAGCATTGAAACGAAAAGTTATCGTGTACGCAGAAAAGCATGGAAACAGGGCAGCCGGGCGCACGTTCGGTATTAGCGAAGCCAACATCCGTCGCTGGAGGAACGACCGTGCTTCCATATTTACTTGTAAAGCTACAACAAAATGCTTCACGGGGCCTAAGAAAGGAAGATACCCACAAGTGGACGAAGCTGTACTATGTTTTGTTGGTGAGATGCGTGCAAAAGGATTGCCTGTCACGCGCCAGGCAATGCGGTCGAAGGCGGGAGAAATTGCCAAAACCCTGGGAATAGACGAAACAAAATTCAAAGCAACGAGAGGCTGGTGTGATCGATTCATGCGCCGAGCAGGACTGTCTTTAAGGCGTCAAACATCGTTTTGCTCCAAGCTGTCTGCTGACGTGAAACAGAAGGCCACGGTGGAACACCCTTTTAAGAAACGCTGCCTCCCCAGTGCTCTGGGTGACACCAAGGGTGCCGTTCTGTGGAAGCGAGCAGACCTCCGCGGCTGTGGTTGGAGAAGTGATTCAGAAGAGTTGGACTCAGAATATGAAGTTATAGTTATAACTTAACCAGTTAATTCATACACTTTCTTCAGGTATGTGCAAGATTGGTGTGATAAAAACCCGTTTAACTCTAGAACAACGTTTCACTAAATACCAACATTCTACATGCTAGGAAGGCATTGTGTCGGTTTAATTGCCTGTTTTTTCTTAGTGGCACACATGGTGCCTCCTACAGTTGATGGTATCTTAGTTTAAAAATAGTTTGTAAATTTATTTTTCTTTGTTGGATAGCGGTTATTTATTGGGGAACTTCGTCCTGACTCTTAGGCTGTTACAGTGGTCCTCTAGGAGATACAGTTTTTTTGCAACCTATTCAAGGTTTTAGAGTAGTAATTTAGGCATCTAAGAAACTGTCTTCTACTTCAGGAAGAGGATTAGTTTCTCCCTTTTGTGTGGGAGGACTTCATGCTCAAGGCATGCGTTGTGGAGAAAGTACTTCTTCACAAACGATTCAGTGACAAGACCTCAGAGGTCCTGGGTATTGAGGATAAAATAGAGTGGTGACCATGCCCGCCTCACTGGAAAATAATCTGCCGGGTGCCCGTGTTTGTGTTCACTGGACTTTGGACTGGGTGTTCACCAGGGAAGAGAGATAGGAATTCAAAGACCCTTCCCGTTCAGTGTTACCTGCTCTGTACAAGAATGAACTGCAACGCCGGTGTCTTGTATTAATCCAAGTTCTTGTTAGGTTTTTCCCCTTTTTTTTCCTCAAGAACCAGTCATCATAGATACTCCCCTCTGTTTTACAACCGTGTGGAACCACGTCTGATACCTCGTCTTTCACGCCCATAGTTGGTTTGTTAACAGGCACACTTGCTGCGCCCCAGCTTGTGTTCCTGAGGTTTGCCTCTGCCGTCATTGTAGCCCTTTGGATAAACTGAAAGGGAATCTACAGACCATAAGTTTAGTTTTCAGTATTTGCTAGGGGAAGATCCCCAGCAACTGAGAGGCACATACTCCTTCTGTCATTTCCTTATTGGATGCAGTTTTCTGTTTGTGACCGTGGCGATGAACAGAACCGTGACACAAGTTGCAAGCGTTAATTTTTGTGCTTCATTCTAGCTGCATTATCACGTTAAAACGGTCATCAGCTAGAAAAGAATTAATGCCTAAAAGCTTCTTGGTTACTGGGAGGATATTTTAAATAGGTCTTTCATAGTCTAATATTTTGAGCTGTGGATTCTGCTCTCTGGTGTGTACCTTAGGTTTAGATACTAATCATAGTTGCTGACAAACATTACGTAGCCAGTGAGCTTCTGTACTGTTTCAGTATTAAAGAACGATGGCTGGTGTAACTTCATAAAATCTGCAGGGGTCATCCACAGGTGACTACAAATGAATCCATGTGAAGGTGTACATGTTGGTATTATTTACATTTATGCTTCAGGGATATCTTTTTTAGTAGGATTTAGGGAAACGGTCTGTTGAACTTACTTAGGAAATACATCCAAAAGCATATTAAGTAGCTTACACCCTACCACCTTTTAACTCTTCGCAGTGCAAAAAGAAATCACTGATGCCAATATGAATGTTTTGCAAACGAATTCCTTTGTTTAAAGCTTTTATCTTTTCTTGCATTCCTTTTGCCCTCGATACACTCACCGTAGTACGTATTTCTAAGCCCGCCGCTAAGATAGGCGAGAGGAGTGTTAACACACAATTATTTGTGTGGGATAATGTTTCTGTTCCCATTTCTCTGTTAGTGCTTTTGTAGCTGTGCTTAACCATAACTTCATAAGTGCATTTTCATTTTCTCAGTGGGAGACTGACTAGCCTGTGGTTAATTTTGAAGCTTAGAAGGTTCCGAGCTTAATTAAGAGTGCATTCAAGTATCCATCTGGTCTGAATACTCACAGAGATGGTGACCAACTATGCCATCTTTTGAGGATTAATTCTAAAATTGAGGACTCTGATAGGTTGTTTCATTTCCTTTCCAATCAACCATTCCCACATCTCTTTTGCCTCTGACACTTTTGTGAAAATTGCCTGTATCAAGCGTACTGGTTTGCGTTGCTCTGATTCCAATGCCAAAAAACACTAGATATTTGTGTGGCACTGTTCAGTGAGGTTTTTAATATTTACATCAAGCTAAAAATAGAATTCATCCAATGGATTTTGTAGTCTTGTTTTCATGGTGGAAACATTAAATACCTAGTTTTTGGGTGAATAGCTAATTCACCTATAGGCTGACCCATTTCTTTAGATGATGCTAGGCTTAAAAACAAGTTCAACTGTTATTTTGCTGAAAGGTGGGAATATATTTTGCTGGAAGATGGGTGAACCATATTAATGGCTTCACAAAATGTTACTTTAAACCAAAACGTGTTGAAAGATTTGAAAGTAGTGCTCTTTTATTTTTAGGAGCAACGTAGTTTGAAATTACTTTAAGTCAACAATGCAGTATTTTTTAAAGTCCGTTTTTCTTAAAAGTTGTGTTTTAGTGTAACATGTAACCAATGTAACATTAGATTTTTGACTGGTAAACTTCAGGTGCTTTTATATTTGAAGTTGACTTTTAAAAGCTAATGAGCAGTACTCAAAGGTTGTAGACTTTGGAGCAACTAATGGAGTCTAGAATTCAAGCACCTAGTATCGTCTGCTTTTAAAGTATCCTATAGCTTTTAACTTAAAGCATAAAGAATAGCATTTTATCTTATATTACTAAAACTTCCATTTTCCATTTCTTAATGTACATGGGCTGCCTGCCTTATGACCAGTGTTTAACAGTAAGTACCCTTCCAAGTCAGTTCTGTGCATAACCATCCACCAAATATGGCTTCTCTGGTTCCTTAAAGGAAACACTGTGTGCTGTGCTATGATGCATTGCCATCCTGCTGCTTGACAAATAGGTCTATGTATAAGGAATTAGAAATGTGTGCATCAATAGTACCATTATATAACGAGATGTAAAATTAGAGTTAAGAAATGTGTGTAAATGATCATTCACTGTTTTTGTTTCAAAACTGGTCAGTACTATATACCTAAAGCTTCTGTGGTTTGTTTGATGTTTTAACTTTCACTTTAAACTGCAAAGAATAAATTAAACTGAAAACAAAAGTTTGGTATGTGTCATTGATAAAGTATAGTAAGTATGAAGGGTACCTGGGGCATGAAGGGAGTTGAAAGCAGTCATTTTTCCCAGTGGTCCACGCTTCACCACATTTTTCACACTCTAAGAGTCTGTAAGAATTAAAGTAACCACGGTCCTAGTGCCATGAAAGTAATTGACGTAGAACCCAAAGGACATAGGGATTTGAGCTAAATTGCTTTGCCCATGTATGGCCTTTGGCTCTCTTCTCATAATTTATCCAACACCCTCAAGATTGTTTTGATATTCTGTTTACCGTAGGTCATGTCTCACATTTTTGTTAATATTAACCACCCAGAGGACTGAGTGGGGACACGGACCAAAGCCCAGTAAAAAGATTGAGGAATGCCTTTGAAAACCAGTTTGAGATGGGAAATCATTAATTGTAGAGGCTAGGAGTCAGGTTTTTTTATTTTTCCTCAGTGATGCTTAGCTGCCAAGAAGGTAGAGTGGGGAAAAAGTGGATTTTGCCAGGGTCAGGCTTCATAAGGTAGGAGTGTCTGAAGGGCAGGGCCATTAGAGATTACTGTAGATTGGCTGTGGATTTGGGCTGGGTTGTAAGAAGTCTGATCAGTAAGACACTGATAAATTGGGTGAATGGGAAGGGGTAGAGATTGAAGATAAAATGAGTGTGACATTTGTGTGTAATGGATAGAAGGAAGTTAGGGGTGGAGATCAGAATTTTAGAGGTGAAGCAGTTCTGAGCAGTGTCAGTACAGCCATCGAAAGGGAATCAGAACTGGGACTCATTCTAGGGGTTCTGTGGACTGTCACCACGGTCACTGTTACGTGC